AACCAGCACCCTCTTGGAGAGGAGGAAAAGGATTAACCACTAGGCTAAGCAAGGAAATTGATTTAAATTCACCACAATCTATATTTATTTAATTAAGGATTTTTAAATATATGTTTTTAAAACATCAATAGTGAACTATTTTAAATTTTAAATATTAATTTATGATCCTATAATATAAATTTAAAATTAAATAAATATTAATTCTTTTATTATAAATAATTTAAAATTTATATTTATTTAATGATTTGTACAATATTGTTTTTCTTATAATTGTTTAATTTAATTCAACAAGCTAGTCTATAAAATTAATTATTTATATTTAATTCATATAATTTTTTAATCAAAGATTAAATTATTTAAAAATATAAAAAAATAGTATAAACTATATAAAATTTTAAATCATTAAAATAAACACTATTTTTGAACTTCATAAATCCTCAATTAATTTAATATTAATTAAATAAATATATATTTAAATTATTTATGATATAAATAATTTTTAATATTTATTTAATTTTAAATTTATATTATAAGATCATAAATAAATATTTTTAAATTTAATTTTTAAAAATAATTTAATATTAATGTTTTAAAACATATATATAGAAAATCCTGGAAATATTGGTTGTGGTAAATTAATACCAATTACCTTGCTTAATACAGGTTTTGGAACTACAAACTCAAATAATGCGGATATTTTATGGAAAAATATGTCACATTCCATCAGAGAGGTGGGCAAAAACACCATTGGGTTGTCGACAGGGAAGGTCAAGGAGCATAAAGAATCGTGGTGGTGGAACGACGAATTCCAAACTAAGGTGAAGACAAAGCAAACTTGCTTCAAGGAGTATCTACAATGCAATGATGACGAAGAAAGATCGAGAGCTAAACAAAGATACAAAGAGACGAAGTGAGAAGCCAAGAAAACGGTGGCTAAAGCAAAGGATAAGGCATGTGAGGAAATGTACAAGAGATTAGACACCAAGGAAGGGAAAAATGACATCTTCAGGCTAGCAAAATCCAGGGAGAATAGGAAAAAGGATCTAGGTAGCATTAGGTTTATTGAGGACAACAATGGTGTTCTTTTAGTGAAAGATCATGATATTAAGAGGGTTTGGGGTAGTTACTTCTTTGGCTTATTTAATGACGGTACCTCTCCCTGTAGAGATAATATCGTTGATGGGTCAGCCGACCATCATACTACGACCAATGAATGCTTTGAGGAAGTCAAAATAACTCTTAGAAAGATGGGGAGGGACAAAGCTGTCAGTTCAGATCAAATTCCTATCACTGTGTGGTTGGCTTTAGGAGAAGAGGGAGTTAAGTGGTTGACCAATATCTTTAATATTATTTTAGAGACTGCCAAGATGCCAGAGGAGTGGAGAGAGTCTACGGTGATACCAATCTATAAGAATAAAGGAGATCCCCAACGTTGTGGCAACTACAGAGGTATTAAACTACTCAGCCATACCATGAAGCTATGGGAAAGAGTGATAGAAGCTAGGTTGAGATAGGTTACTAGGGTTTCGGAAAACCAATTTGGCTTTATGCCAGGCAGATCTACTACGGAGGCGATTCATCTACTTTGACAGCTTATGGAGAAATATAGGGAAAAAATAGAGATCTTCACATGGCGTTCATTTTTCTTGAAAAGGCGCATGATAATGTTTCTCGCGATACGATCTAGAATACCTTGGAAATGAGACGGATCCTAACTGCTTATATCCGAGCGATTTGTGATATGTACTGTAGATCTATTACATACGTCAAGACTACAGTTGGTGACACTGAGGCATTACCGGTGGAAATCGAACTCCATCAGGGGTCGGCTCTTAGCCCTTACATCTTCGCCTTGATTATAGACGACATCTATTGTGCGACACCAGACAGTGTTCCATGGTGTATGCTTTTCGTTGACGATATTGTCCTAGTTGCGGAAACAAGAACTGAGCTAAATAGTAGGTTGGCTACATGGAAGACTGTTTGGAAGAAAAAGGTCTAAGGATTAATATTGCAAAGACAGAGTATTTATGTTCAAACTTCAGTGGGAACCAAAACGATGAAGATGTAGAGGTATGCATAGAAGGGCATGTTTTCCCCTCAAAGGATTGTTTCAAGTACCTAGGGTATATGATACATAAAGATGGGGGGTGTGGATGATGACATTACACATCGTATAAAGGCGGGATGGCTAAAGTGGAGGGCTGCTTCCGGAGTTTTGTGTGACAAGAAGGTGCCTCTAAAACTTAAGGGAAAATTTTATAGAATGGCAATAAGACCAGCGCTGCTGTATGGATCAGAATGTTGGACAATCAAGAAGGATAACGTAAGGAGAATGGAGGCCGCATAAATGAGAATGCTTTGATGGCCATGTGGTAGGACTCTGTGGGACATGACACGAAACTCTACTATTAGGATGTCCTTGGGGATTGTGCCTATATCCAAAAAATTGAGGGAGAGAAGACTTGAGCATGTCCTAAGGTGAAAACCGTCGGATGCGGTCAAGAGGGTAGAGTCGATTACAGTCGACGGTGCCAGAAGGAGAGGACGACCAAGGCGGAAGTGAGAAGACTGTTTGAGATCTTATTTGAAGGATTTAGCCCTTACCGAGAACATGACCTCAAATAGAAAAGTATGGAGACTTAAGACCAGGGTAGCTGAGTAGTGCGTGTCACATCCATAGGGTGTATCATCTCTGTCTTCTTTTAATGCCTTTGTAGAAATTTCCATGACTTCTACTTTTTATACGTTTTTGTCATTAGAATATATGAAGGCTTAGAACTAGGGTAGCGGAGAAGTGTTGCCTTAGTTTAGGTTTTAACTCATTTGACGTTATTCATTCTCGTTGCTTCCTATCGTTGACTTATGTGTATGCTTCTCTCCATGTTTCCTCTTTTAATTTTAGTCGGGTCTTACGTTTCTGTCTATATGCAAAGTTTTTTATGCAGGGATTTATTTGCAGGGATTACTTCCCATTACAAACGCGCATATGAAGACTGTTCAACTAAGTATTTATTTATTTATTTATATATGCATTGCATTTTATCTTTATTTTTAATTTTCTGACTGCCGGAGGTCTTTTACGGAAGCTGCTCTCAACCTGGCGTTGGGGGTAGCCTACTACCCTACCTCCCCTTACCCCATTGCATATGGGAATAGGGTTTTGTTGTTGTTTACCTTGCTTAGCCTAGTGGCTAAGCCTTTTCCTCTTCACCAAGAGGGTGCTGGTTCAATTCCCCTACTGTGCATAAGCTGTTTGTTTTTGATAAAATAACTTGAGTGACCCAAAATGCTTTATAATATACGATTTTAACCAAATTTTTTTTTATTTGCAAAAATAACCAACGAATTCGGAACTTAATTTCGAATTCACAAAACGAAAGCCAATTTCGCAACACAATTTCCGAATTCGCAACTTGAATCTTGCTATGTACAAAGATTTCAGAATTTATCCAAAAGGGACAAAGTAAAACATGAGAAGAGTTTACCACTTTTATAAGGTTGGTGGTACCTTCCCATTTTGTTTGTCCCAAAAAACCAGACTGTATGGACTCTATGGCTGCCTCACCTTTAACCTTCAGCTTAAGATAAAACAAAAAAGTTTACCACTTTTGCTCATCATAACATCAGCTATTTCTTCCTTAATAAAACCTTAATTCCATTGGTATTGTAATAAAAAGAATCACTTTCGTTGCTCATACTCGAAGCTTAATTTTTTCCTCAGTTTTCCAGTTTTCATTAGCTATCATTTTCCTGCTCAAATCGCCTTTTAAGATTTTCCAAGTCTAACATATAATACCCATTCCTTTAAGCTTTATGATTCTTCTCTCTTTTGTCTTCTATTCTCTCTCTCATTGAAAGCTAAGCTCTCTTCCATACTATTCTCATGTTTTGCTTTGTCCCTTTTGGATAACTTCTGAAATATCTGTACATAGCAGGATTCGCATTGCGAATTCGAAATTTGCGTTGCGAATTCGAAAATCGAGTTGCGAAAACAAAATTCTTATTGCAAAATTGAAACTCGCGTTGCGAATTAGAAAATCGAGTTGCGAAAACGAAACTCGTGTTGCGAATTTAAAAATCGAGTTGCGAAAAAGAAATTTGTGTTGCGAAAATATCAAATTCGAGTTGCGAAATTGACTTCTGTGTTGCGAATTCCAAATTCGAGTTGCGAATTCGAAAACTGTGTTGCGAAATTAGCTTTCGTGTTACGAAATTGGCTTTCATGTTGCGAATTCAAAATTGAGTTGCAAATTCGTTGGTTATTTTTGCAAATCCAAAAAATGTATATTAAAATCGTATATTATAAGGCATTTTAGGTCACTCAAGTTATTTTCTCTTTGTTTTATTTCTGGTGGAGAGGGCGCTGGTTTAATTCCCCCATACTGTGCTAATTTGTTGGTTTTATTTCGTAAGGTGGTGACATGTCCCTATTAGTTAAATTAAAATAACAAAAATATATTATTTGATTACTGATGTGGCAATTTAAAAAAAATTATCAAGTTAATGAAATGAAAATAAAATTTTAGATACTAAAATAAACCAAAATTAAAATTTTAGATACTAAATGGTAGTTTACCCTACAAATTTTAAATATATATACACAGTAAACACATTATTGACTTTCTCATCAACAAGAATAAACAACTTGAAAAATCAGAGCTCAATCTAATCCCTTTATTATAAAGATTGATTTAAGTCAACCCCTTATGAAAAGGTTAATTTGTATCTATCTCTAAAATACATGGTTTAAATTAATTTATTTAATAGTAAAATGATTAAATTGAAGCAATCCCGATAATTAATTTTTCATAAATAAAGTTACAATTTTTTCCTTCCAAGGAATCCTAGTTAGAGGGACAGGTAGAGGATTCCAATTTCCAAGAATATGACAACATTTTAGCGCCACGATGGCGACACTTTTGAGCCTGTAATCCCTTAAATAGGGATTAGGGCTAAACACATCAGGCTATAAATGGCTATTCGATGTCTTCATCTCTTACACATCCCGCTTTAAGCGCCCAACACGTTATATAAATGTCGCCTGTATACCAAAACGAGTCAACCCAAACCAACTCAGTTTTCCAACCATCAGGCACAAGCTCTGCATTCATGGGTTCTCTCGGCTACTTAGACGAACCTTTTGGCTCTTTGAAGTATCCGAGGGCTCGGAGGGACGATTCGGTGGTCGATGATTACCATGGTGTTAAGGTTGCTGACCCTTATCGATGGTAAGCGAGATTAAAGTTAGAATTAAAAAACAAGTTCTCGTTTTTCTTTTGGTTGTTGGCTGAAGTTGTTAATGATTGCATGCAAAAGGCTCGAAGATTCTGATGCTGAAGAAGTAGAGGAGTTCGTGAAGAAGCAGGTTGGTCTGACGGAATCGGTGCTTGAAACATGCGACTCCAGGGGAAAACTCCTCAACAAAATCACGAGACTATTCGATCATCCGCGCTACACCGTGCCGTTTAAGCGAGGGAATAAGTATTTTTTCTTCCACAACACCGGCCTCCAAGCACAGAACATCCTTTACGTGCAGTCTGGTTTAGAGGGAGAACCAGAGATTTTGCTTGACCCCAACACCCTTAGCGACGACGGAACGGTGTCGTTAAAGGCCTTTTCCGTTAGCCAGGACGCCAAGTACTTGGCTTACGGGCTTAGTTCGAGTGGAAGTGACTGGGTGACGATTAAAGTAATGCGAGTCGAGGATAAAACAGAGGAGCCCGACACTTTATCATGGGTGCGTTTTAATGGTGCAGAGCCTATTTATCCTTAACACGAAGGCTCACAGTAAATACTTATACTCTTCTGTTTATGATACAGATAAAATTTTCTGATATCAGCTGGACACATGACAGCCGAGGGTTTTTCTACAGCCGATACCCAATGCCCAAGTAATAAACTCACTTTTCATTTACTGCAATCTTGTGCTCTGTTTTCTGGGAAATAATTCACACATATTCAAGTACAAAATAATATCTTTATTGTGCAGAGATGGAGTGAATCTTGATTCTGGGACGAAAACTAGTGTTAACGTTAATCACGAGTTATACTATCATTTCCTTGGCACAAGTCAATCTGAAGACATCTTATGCTGGCGAGATCCTCAGAATCCTAAGCACATGTTTAGTGGAAAAGTGACAGATGATGGAAAGGTCAGTTGATGTATGCATGTTACATGTATGTATGTGTGTATGCATCTAATTTATTTTTGGTTTATATGGTGCAGTATCTTATTCTTTACATTGAAGAAGGTTGTGGCCCCGTCAATAAACTGTATCTCTGCGACATGTCTGCGCTTGCAGACGGTCTGGAAGGTTTCAGGGAAAGAAACAGCCCACTCCCGTTTGTTAAGTTGATAGACGAGTTCGATGCACAGTATTTTAACCTTGCTAATGACGATTCATCGTTTACTTTCTTGACAAACAAAGATGCTCCAAAATATAAATTGGTCCGAGTCGATCTGAAGGAACCGAGTAAATGGACCGATGTCATACAGGAGAATAAAAAAGATGTGCTTGAATCAGCATGTGTTGTGAATGGAAACCAGATGATTGTGAGCTATTTGAGTGATGTCAAGTATGTGCTCCAAGTAAGGGATTTGGAAACAGGTTCCATGCTGCATGATTTGCCCATTGACATAGGGACTGTATACGGGATTTCGGCTCGTCGGGAGGATAATACTGTTTTCATCGGTTTTACGAGCTTTCTCACTCCTGGTATCATATATCAATGTGACTTGGGAAACAAGTTTCCAGAGATGAAGATATTTCGTGACATCACTGTACCTGGATTTGATCGCTCGGAGTTCGAAGTCAATCAGGTTTTTGTGCAGAGTAAAGATGGCACCAAGATCCCGATGTTCATTGTTGGCAGGAAGGACACAAAACTTGATGGATCACACCCTTGTTTGTTGTACGGATATGGTGGATTCAATGTCAGTCTCACACCAGTGTTTAGTGTTAGTCGTATTGTGCTCGCCAGACACCTAGGTGCCTTCTTCTGCATCGCAAATATTCGCGGTGGTGGAGAATATGGCAAGGAATGGCACAAGGCTGGTGCCTTGTCCAAGAAGCAAACTTGCTTTGACGACTTCATTTCTGCAGCTGAGTATCTAATATCTTCTGGATATACTCGGCCTGAAAAGCTAAGTATTGAAGGAGGAAGCAATGGTGGGCTTCTAGTTGGAGCTTGCATAAATCAGGTATGCTTCTTTTCATTTATTGTGTTTCTTAATAAAAAGTTCAGAATATTAAGTCATTTTCCATTGGCAGAGACCCGAGCTTTTCGGTTGTGCTTTGGCTCATGTCGGTGTGATGGACATGCTGAGGTTTCACAAGTTCACCATAGGCCATGCTTGGACCTGTGATTTTGGTTGTTCCGAAAACGAAGAAGATTTTCACTGGCTTATCAAGTAAGTCCAAGTTTACATTACTCAGGTATCTGATGACAGAGGAGTGGAACTTCAGACAAGGTTTGCGAAATTGGACTAATTGTTGGGTTTACTTGATTTTTACGAGGTACTCACCATTACATAACGTGAGGAGACCGTGGGAGAAACATCCTGGTGGACTGTCACAATATCCATCCACCATGCTATTGACTGCAGATCACGATGATCGTGTTGTTCCATTACATTCATTGAAGATTTTGGCAGTAATTTCCTTCTCGGATCTACTTGTTTGATCAACCTTCAACAGGTAGCCTTGACTCAGTTTCTTTGTTCTTTTTCAGACAATGCAATATGTTCTTTGTACAAGCTTGGAGAACAGCCTGCAGACTAACCCGATTATCGGACGCATCGAGCGTAGGGCCGGCCATGGATGTGGACGTCCAACACAAAAATTGGTAATCAGAGTTCATTTTGGTAGCCTCGTCAAGTTACACTCTTTTAGCCACTACCACATCCTGACCTATTTGACCTTATGGCGCTTTTTGCTGCAGATCGATGAGGCTGCCGATCGGTATAGCTTCATGGCTAAGGCGTTGGGCGCATCTTGGATAGAGTAACTCGTATATTTAAGTTATCCTAGAGGTAGGGGCTCCTTATATGTTACTGTGAGATACGTGTAGTTAAATAATTTACCCTGTGGATTTCAAAAATAATAATAATTTACCGTGTACTTGCAAAGTAACTATGCATCAAGTTACAAAAAAATACTCCTTATACGTAGAGCCGGCTTTTGAGGGGAGCAACCTGTGCACTTGCTCAGGCTCCCTTTTAAATTGGTCAACGAGGGCCCCCATTTTATATAAATATTAGTTCTCAAGAGTAATTGTGATATTATCAGGGGGCTCACATCCATAATTTCACATTAGTTTCACTCCCAAAAGTCAAAACTTAAAAGTGTACGTGCAATATATATATATTATATAAATTCAGAACTGATGGGGCTCATTTTTAATTTTAACTGTTAGTGAGTATTTCTTCAATTCAATTTTTAATTTCCAAAATCTCATTAACTTACCACACAACCCAAAGTTTTAAAGGTAAAAAATTAAATATTTTTAGTTTCCCATAATTAGATTTTTTCTCATTTATTGAATTCCAATTTAAATATATTATATATATCTTTCTTTCTCAAATCACATTTTACATTTTATTTAAAAAAAAATTAACTTTTCTTCTTCAATATCAACTCATTCCCTAATTTAATATTCTTCAATTATTCCTTTTTTATACCATACTTACAATTCAATTCATTCAAATTCAAAAGAAATATTCTTCAATTATTTATTTTTTATACCATACCCACAATTCAATTCATTCAAATTCAACAAGAATGAGAATGTTGGATGTTTTGGGCTTTTGGATTTGTTAATTTTCTGAAGAACAAAGTCTCAAGGATTGAGAAGAAAATCTAATTTCTGAAATTATTCGATTAAACTCTTTCCTATTAATTATTCTTGAAATTTTATGTGTTCATGTTACAACTACTAGTCTAGTCATTTAGGACATGAAAGAAAGTATGCTTCATAAAAATAAAGTATAACTATGGATGTGAAAAACGTAAAAAGAAAAAAAGAATTGATGGGTCAGCTCAATCCCAAAGAGAAACACTTGATAAATTTTTTATGAGAAAATCGCCTCAGTGACCAAAAAAAAGTTATAATATACGATTTTAACCAACTTTTTTTGGATTTGCCAAAATGACCAACAAAATCGCAACGCGAAATAAAAATCGCAACGCGATCCCCAGAATCGCAAATCAGTTTCCAGAATCGCAAATCAGTTTCCAAAATCGCAACGCGATTCTTGAAAATCGCGATGCGATAGTACAAATTCGCATTGCGATTTTCCATAATCGCAACGCGAATATGAAAATCGCAACGCGAACACATAAATCGCAACGCGTATCCGTAAATCGCAACGTGTATCCGTAAATCGCAACGCGTATGGGTAAATCGCAATGCGTATCCGTATATCGCAACGCGTATCCGTAAATCGCAACGATAATACATAAAATCGCAACGCGTATCCGTAAATCGCAACGCGATATTTAAAGCGCCATTATAATCGCTACGCGTATTTTATTTTCAAATTACAAAAAGAATATTAAGACAAAATCCCGTAATCGCAACTCATAACCTAAAACCTAAAATCACAACTCAGTCCCATCTCCATCTCTCACTCTCTACGGCGAAGAAATCCGTCCCCATCTCCGAAGATTTCCGTCCCCATCTCCGGCGAAATCCCTCACAACCATTCACGGTCAGAAATCCCTCACAATATTCAGAAATGGAAAATCAACCTCCGAGGGTTAGTTTTTTTAATTATTTTATTTTGAAATGTTTGCATTATTGTAGGTTTTTCATATTGAAACTGATGATAAGTTTACTGGTCATTTCAATAATAGATTAACCATTTCACTTAGATTTCATTTCGCGTTACGATTCTGTCGTTGCGATTTTCATTTCGCGTTGCTATTCTCTCGTTGCGATTTTCAAGTTAGTATTTGTCTTTGTCTTTGTTCTGTCTTTTGGTTGAAGTAATGCAATCCATTCAAGTTTCAATTTGCAGAAGAGTCGCAACGAGATAAATGAAAATCGCAACGAGAGAATGACTGTCGCAACGAGAGAATCGCAACGCGAAATGAAAATCGCAACGAGAGAATCGCAACGCGAAACCAAAATCGCATTGCGATTTTCATTTCGCGTTGCGATTCTCTCGTTGCGATTTTCATTTCGCGTTGCGATTCTCTCGTTGCGATTGTCATCTCGCGTTGCGATTCTCTCGTTGCGATTTTCATTTCAACCAAAAGACAAAACAGTGTTGCAAATTTTAGTTTCAAGAATAAACTACTACTTTTTATGTTTATTGTTTTTGGTATATCTTCACAGTGTAGTTTTTGGTATATCTAACTTGGTATGTTTATTGTTTTTGTAGAAATTTTTTTCGGCTCAATTGACCTTGAGAAATAAAGTCAGCCTGGCCACTACAATTGCAAAGAAGCTTTCACTGCTCAAAGACAATTGTTTGAGGAAACCTGCTTCGGGCCATGGCTGAGAGTACAGCATCCGGGTGGAGATGCTAATTTGACCCATTTGTGGCTTCAGACCATGACATCAAATCTACCCGACAGTATACAACGTGGTGAGGAAGAGATATGGTTTCATTTTCCACCAGCGTATACTTGCTTTGGGCGGAAGGAGTTCTGCTTAATCACTGGTCTACGATTCGGACACGATGATGTAGGCCGGTACACTCGTCATATCGCCCGCCCATCATGGTTATCCCGGGTTTTTCCGGATGAGTCAATGGAGAAGCCGAACCTACATGTCGACGACCTGAAGAAATTATTTAATAAGAAAGCTGGTTTCACTCGGATGGAAGACGTCGATGTTGTCCGAGTATGCCTTCTACTACTTGTGTATGCCGGCTTTTTAGGCAGAGAGGCCAGACAACCTATTCATCGGGAGCTAATAATATTGGTAGAGGACCTGAATGCATGGAATCTGTTTCCGTGGGGTTCGTATATATGGAAAGCTACCTGGACTAAGTTGTCGTCTGCCTTTGATGACCGCAAAAGTTTGCGGGGCGATGGGTCCAAATACACTTTGTCAGGCTTTGTTTGGGCCTTTAAGGTAAGAATTTCTATATAATGTTTCTAAAATTATAATTAATTATTTAACAATTACTAATTTTGTTATTATATTGTTTGTAGATTTGGATATTCGAGGCTTTCCCCAGCATGCGTACATATGCAATAAAAACGTCAAATGATATTCCCAGGGCTATTTCCTGGAAGAGGAAAACTCTGTTGGATTGGGAAGACTTAATACCATATGCCACAATAAATAATGTAAGTTAACACAAATACTTTCATATAATATATAAACAAGTTATTAATAGTAGACGTTTAACTTTGTTTGAGTTTTTATATTTTAGGAGGCCAACATTCCATTACAAAGACTGACACCCACGGAGGAAGAGCTTGCCACTGATTGGTGGCAAGCTAGTCAGAATTTTTTTGATGGCACGGATGATGAGCAGCATCCACTTCCTCCAATTCGAGAGCCATCACCTCACCTAGAGCCATCACCCGATCGACCCGACTATACATCTCTAGAACGAGAGCCATCACCTATCCCGTCACATCATCGAGCCTCTTCTCCACCATCACCTCATGATAGGCGACCGGCAAAGATGCCACGACTCCTATCTCCCTGTTCTCCACCTCCACCTCAACGGGATGAGTCAAGGGAGTTACGTGATGAGGTCAATGCCTTGCGTGAGGAGATCGGTACTCTACGCGATAACGATGGTGCATGGCGTGTGGAGGTGTCAACTTTACGTGGTGAGGTTGCCGCTCTACGTGAGATGATAGTATCGTTGCAGAATGAGGTTCATACTCTACGCAACGAGGTAAGTTTAAGATTTTCCATATTTAACTTAATGATAAATTTACTCGTAATTTCACTTAGATTAGCCATTTCACTTAGATTGCTTAGTAAATTTATTCGGTTGCTGCCAATTCTGCTAAACTGTGTATTCTTTAACACTGTGAAATAGTATTGTCTTTGTTTTGTCTTTTGGTTGAAAGTAAATTTGTTCGGTTGCTGCCAATTCTGCTAAACTGTGTATTCTTTAACACTGTGAAATATATTTGTCTTTGTTTTGTCTTTTGGTTGAAAGTAAATTTGTTCGGTTGCTGCCAATTCTGCTAAACTGTGTATTCTTTAACACTGTGAAATAGTATTTGTCTTTGTTTTGTCTTTTGGTTGAAAGTAAATTTGTTCGGTTGCTGCCAATTCTGCTAAACTGTGTATTCTTTAACACTGTGAAATAGTATTTGTCTTTGTTTTGTCTTTTGGTTGAAAGTAAATTTGTTCGGTTGCTGCCAATTCTGCTAAACTGTGTATTCTTTAACACTGTGAAATAGTATTTGTCTTTGTTTTGTCTTTTGGTTGAAAGTAAATTTGTTCGGTTGCTGCCAATTCTGCTAAACTGTGTATTCTTTAACACTGTGAAATAGTATTTGTCTTTGTTTTGTCTTTTGGTTGAAAGTAAATTTGTTCGGTTGCTGCCAATTCTGCTAAACTGTGTATTCTTTAACACTGTGAAATAGTATTTGTCTTTGTTTTGTCTTTTGGTTGAAAGTAAATTTATCCATTCAAGTTTCAATTTGCAGAAGAAGAAATAGTTTACTTTCGCAACACGAAACTTAAAATCGCAATGCGAAACCAAAATCGCAACGCGAAATGAAAATCGCAACGACAGAATCGCAACGCGAAACCAAAATCGCAACGACAAGATCGCAACGCGAAACCAAAATCGCATTGCGATTTTCATTTCGCGTTGCGATTCTTCCGTTGCGATTTTCATTTCGCATTGCGATTCTGTCGTTGCGATTTTCATTTCGCGTTGCGATTTTGGTTTCGCGTTGCGATTTTAAGTTTCGTGTTGCGAAAGTAAACTATTTCTTCTTCTGCAAATTGAAACTTGAATGGATTGCATTACTTCAACCAATAGACAAAACAAAGACAAATACTAACTTCAGGGTATTAGTTTGAAACATATTTTTCTTTGTTATCTGATGCATTTTGTGAACTATGATAGAATAATGACTTGGGTGAATACAATGCAAGTTTGAAACATATTTGTCTTTGTTTTCACTGTTTAAATATCATGTCTGTTTATTTACTGATTTTTGTATTTAATTATTTAGCGGCCCGATAGAGTGGATGCTTTACGTCGGGTTATGCTTGCACGACGGA